CCCCCCAAGTTCCTCCTCCCAGTTGCTCTAGCCCCTTCCTCCTCTACTCCTATGGCTGGTGGCCTTCTGCTTTCTCTTCCCGGGACACTCACTCCCCTCAGCCCCCTGCAGAATTCCCAGACATACTCGAGGCAACAACACTTTAGTAAAGACATTCTCGTTATCAATTCATGCTCCTCTTTCACAAAGTTCCCCATATACTCAAAACAACCCTGAAGATATCTCGGGCAGAGATTATTGTCTCTATTTGACTTATGAGGAGCCAAAAATGATCTGAAGATACATTTTTTAATAAAATGTATATGCCTTGAATATCTTAGAGGAAACATAGCAAAGTAATTTAGAACATGGGCTCTGGGCAACTGTCAGAACATAAATCTGTGACAACTATTTGAACTTGAACGCAGGTTTAAATCCAAGCCTCATCATTTACTTGACCTCTCCTCAATGAATGTCTGTGTTCTTTCTGCAGGAAAGCCTAGGTCCTGGCTGCGCGACTTCAGGAGTTACTTGTGGCATCTGATCAAGACCTTCGTACCTCAAGCAGCCATTTTTGCTTTTCTTTTACCCACAGCACTAGTAGGGATCCTCTGCGGCCTCATGTAAGCTGCTGTGGGAAAAGGAGACGGGTGAAGTGAGGGAATGTGAGGGGGAAGGGGTAGGGGACAGAAACAGTCAGGTTCCCCACCGACCTGCACATCTGCAATTAAGGGAAAGATTTAAGGAAGGGTATTCTGAGGGCAAAATTCTGAAGGACCATGTGAACCCTTTTTTAAGTCTCCTTCGCTTTCTCTTTTTATCCTCCAATGTGCCCCATCCATTACCAATGACTGACAGGTGACATATAATAACCAGTGTTTNGAAGGCGGGAGTCCATGGAGTTCCAGAAGCTTCTGAGCATTGGATTTCTGCTGTGCTCTCTGACATGCCTCTCGTTGGAGGTGGTGGTATCTTCTCCTTCACCTTTGTCTGCCTTTGAAATACAAGAAAAAGCAGGACCGAAACCACGCTCAGGGGGTGTGTTTGCAGTTAGGATGAATCCTCCTTTCTCCGAACGGCGTCAGATTCGTGTCTCAGGTCAGGAAAAACTGGTTCCATGTTCAAAAATAATGTTCACGAGAAAGCAAACTATTCTTGTTGGTTTCCATTTAGTTCAACAAGCATTAACCTACTTACCATGTACCGAGCCCTTTGCTAAACTACGTGAATTAGTAGTTGAACAGCCCCTGTGATCAAGGAGCTCACAGATGGGCAGACAAAGCCACAGATGCCAACCTTCCATGGAATATGACAAATGCTCCCAGAGGACAAAGGGATAATTAAAATTGTGTGGGGGAGGGAAGACTTGACAAAGGAGGTAAAATTTAAAATAAACCCGATGGTCCACTGATCCACAGCCTAAGGGCTTCCAAAGCAAGCCCTGCTTCCAACATGCACACACATGTCGCTGAGATCGTTTCTGGAGCTCCAGCTCTGCAAAGTGTCTTGCCGGTGAGCAGTGAGCCCTCTCCACTCCATGCTGCAAACACTCCTGTTTTCCCTACCTCTTTCCTTGGGGTCAAGTCACAGTGCCATCTCCTTCCTCCCCCACTTCCAACATCTCCGGTCTTACCTCGTTCAGCAGAA